CCTGTTGGATCACTGTCCTTCCTACTAGATGAGAAGTCAGACAGTTCCATAGCCCGGACTGGTCACTTTTATATATTAAAAAATGATATTAATCATGACTGTGTAGTAGTGGCAGAAAGATAGGCACCTAGATCAAAGGAACAAAATAGTCAACCTGAAAACAGTCCCACAGAAGCTCAATCAATTTATTTTTGACAAAGGTGCAAAGCAATTCACCGCAAGGAGAGCCTTCTTAACAAATGGTGCTGGAGCAATTGGATATCCACAGGCAAAAAACGAGCCAGCCTAAGCTTCACATATTATCCAAAAATTAACTCATAATAGGTCATGTGTTTATTAATTGTTTTTAAGCTTATTTTATCAAATTTGTTGGGATGACATTAGTTAATAAGATTATATAAGTTTCAAGTGTACAATTCTATAATGGATCACATATTTAAATGTAAAATGTAAAACTATAAAACTCTTAGATGAAAACATAAGAGAAAATCTTTGAGACCTAGGGCTTTGTGAAGAGATTTTAGACATGACACAAAAGCATGATCCATAAAAGAAAAAAAGTTGATAAGTTGGATAAAAGACAAACCACAGACTGGGACAAAATGTATTCAAACTACATATCTGAAAATGGACTCATATTTAGATTATCTAGAGAACTCTCAAAGCTCAATATTAAAAAAAAGCAAAAAAAAAATAATTCAATTATGAAATGGACAAATAGCATGATGAAGCATTTTACCAAAGAAGGTGTATGATGACAAGTGAGAACGTGAAAAGATGTTCACCGTCACCAGTCATCAGGGAAGTGAAAATTAAGATTGTTATGAGATCTCACTACATACCTATTAGAACAATGAAACTAAAAAAATAGAGTGCAAAATGCTGGAAAGGATGTGGAGAATCTAGATCTCTCACACATTGCTGGTGGGAATTTAAAATGCTTACGGCCACTCTGGAAAACAATTTGGCAGTTTCTTTAAACAAAACAAAACAATACCTAAGCATAGATTTACAGTAATACTCAGTGATCATACCCCTGGGCATTTACTCCAGAAAAATGAAACCTGTCCACATAAAACCTGTACAGGATTGTTTATAGCAGCTTTATTTACTTATTTATGTTCCGAAAGTGGAAATGACCAAAATGTCCTGTAATAAGTGAGTGGTTAAGCGAAGTGCGGCATCTCCTCGCTTCTCGGGTACCTCCCAGGTGCTGCGATGGGGGAGGTGGGTGTGACTATAATGGGGCAGCCTGGGAGATCGTGGTGGCGATAAAGCAGTTCTATACCTTGATCTCCCGGGTAACTGGTATCCACGTGAATTTGCACGTGTGAGGAAATGATTCAGAACTGTACAAACACAATGCGCCAACATCGATTTTCTAGTTTTGGTATTATACAATAGTTATATAAAATGGAAGCATCTGGGGAAACTCGAGAAAGAGAACCTGAGACCTTTTTAATTATCTTCACAACTTCCTGTGAATTTATAATTATTTCAGAATTTAAAAATATAACATAAAACAATGCATATTCCAGCGTTAAGCATTATTTTCCAGTCTAATATAAAATCTCTAAGTATCTCATCTTATCGGCAGCTTCTCCCCTCCCTAGCGCTGCAAGATCAGAACCGCTCCAGGCATAGAAGTCTGCTGCGTTGTCAGGGTAGGCTAAGCCACACTTGGTAATAAATACAAAACAAAGCAAAAATCCCTGAAACTTTGGTATTTTAGTTTAATAAAACTTTGTTACTTATGTCCATTGAGCAGCTCTCTCCCTACTGTGACTCAGGGATCCAGGCTCCTTCTGTCTCATGCCTCTGCCATCTTCAGCCTGTGGCCTCCGTGCTCACCCTCTCAGGAGAAGAGAAACAGCGGAGAATCCAGCAGGGGGCTTTGTGGCTAGGCCTGGAAGTGTCCCCTAGCACGAGTACCTACAGTCTTGCTCAGAACTTAGGTTAATTGCGAGTGAAGTTGGGAAGTGACAATCTTCCTGCACGCCCAGGAATGACACGCATTGGTGGTGTAATCCGGGGTTGGCTCCGTGCAGGACCAAAATGCTATTTTCCTTCTTAGGCATCTTAGTGGGTTGTCTAGAGACACTGCTGCCTCATCAGGGATCTTGCACTGTACCATTCCTTGGCACAGTGAGTCACTTCCAGCTAACTGTATGTGACAGTCACCTTCTGCATAAAGGCACACCCAAGTTTCTTTCTATTGGAGTCATCTCATCCTGCAGTACAGGACAGGCATGGTGAGTCCTCTTGGCCAGGTTCCTTTGAGATGATTTAAGCCTGAGCCACAGGAAAACTCAGCATCCTTGCTCCATCAAAAGCTGGAAGAGCAGGCTGCTCCCCCCACAGCCCTCTTCACTTGCCCTGCCATCAGAGGAAGCTTGAAACAGACTCTTGCTCTAGGTGTTTTTTTTTTTTTTTTTCAGGCAAGAGTCAGGCAACACAGGCCATTTGCTCCCAAGAGCTCTATCCCTTTGCTCTGCCCTGGAGCCCACAGGGCCCCCTCACTTAGCTTGAGGAGGGAAACCCCCTTCCCTCTCTGAGAGGGTGAGCAGAAAGGGAAAAAAATCCATCCTCCCTAGTCTTATTAAAATCAATTTCCTGGTCTCCTGTTACGTAGAGGCAGCAGGGGATGCACTGCAGGGCGCATACCCAGTTTTGCCTCGTTAGTAATCCCTGCGTGGTGGTCGGACCCTTGTCTCTAGACTCTGTTGCTGCTTAACTCCTCCTGTCCTCAGCTTTGGGATCTCAGCCAAAATGCAGAGCGAACTGGGGAAGTCGCACTGTTAGATAACATTATTCCCATTTTATAGTAGATCTTGAGGTTCAAATGGAAAAGGAATGTGTGCAGAGCCTCCCAGCGCTACACTGGCATGTAGATTTCACGAGCTGTGGGCTGTGGTGGGTGAGACACAGAACCTGGGAGGCAGAAAGGAAATGTGATTGTATTTAATTCGGGAAAGTCAGTGTGTTCCTGGAGAGAAGAGGAGAATCGGTTCAATGGGGTGCTAGTTAGGGATTAGAAAGTCAATAAGAAGTTCTTTTTGTAATTAGTTTTCTATGCATCACTCCGCCTTCTCATTCTAACCTTCCCGGTTGCGGGCACTCACCCCACAGACACCCAGACCTCTTGAGCAAAGTCCAGGCTCACCACGACACCCTCATGGCCTTGTATTCCTCATACAGTGGGATGACAGAAGTGGAATTCAAACAGTTGTAATGAGCGGGCTTTGTAGGGGAGCAACTTTGTTCAGAAAAACACTTGGAAAACTTGAGGGTGTGGGTTAGAAGGCATCTGCAAAAACAAAACAAAGTTGTCAACGTGTCACGGATAAGAAATGGAACAGAATTTGGGGGAGGGAAGACAAAGATGAGGAGAGGGAGGCAGAGCCAGGAGCGGCGCAGCGAGGCGGGAACAGGAGCCTGAGCAATGAGCCCCGGTGAAGAATTTTAAGAACCAAAGTGTCCAGTGGCCCTGTTAAGTCGCTTGGGGTGTAAACCATCTCCATCTCTACCCTTCTAAACATCCACGCCTTCGTGCACTCTGCCGGGAGTGGGGAAAACGAGGACGGAGCAGCCGTTCCAAGTTCAAGTGGGTGAGGCGTACAGGGAAGAGGTGCTGGCTAAAAAGAAGGGCGCAAGGGCAAAAGCTTATTGAACACAAGCTGAGGGGCCACGGTGGCCCTGGGAAGTGCGCCCTCAGGAGTGGGGCCGTCTCGAGGGCATTCGACTTCCCACGGGACATCGCAGAGTCAGCTTAAGCTAATTTAACTGAAACCTTGTGTGACCGGATGACTGCAGCTGACATCTCGGTTACACTCAAATAATCTAAAATCCTTTTAAGAATATGCTTCATGACTCCTTTCTCACAAAACTCTTTACCCAACTTGCTAGAGAGAATAGTGTTAAAACTACTTTGCCTAAATTTGCCATTGCCAGCCTTTGTGAGGAGGTGCTTAGACAGGCACAAAATAAATACTGGAGAGTTAGATTAAGGAAGAGAGAATCAAATGGTGTGAGTAATAGGATAAATTGATGATCAGCACATAATACCTAGTTTGATCTGTGAGTTAGCAAAGAGTTTGTTCTGTGTGTGTGTGAGTGTGTGCGTGTGCACGCACACGTGCACATGTGTGCGCGCGTGCGCATTTTGAGCGGTGCTTCCCCATTTTAATGTGCACACAAACCACTTAGGCTCTTGCGTGTGTGTGTGTGCGCGCGCGCGCGCACGTGCACATGTGTGGTGCGCATTTTGAGCGGTGCTTCCCCAATTTTAATGTGCACACAAACCACTTAGGCTCTTGCAGTGGGGTGGATGGTGGTTAACGAGATTCTGCATTGTTAACAGCTGGCCAGGGATGCCATGGCAGCTGGTCTGAGTAGCAGTGTTTTAGAACGCAGGGCAGTACCTTTCTAACCCAGAAGGTCGTGAATGGGGGCCGAAGAAAAAAGGGGGGATGGAAAATATAAGAATGTAGACAAGGGGAGAATAGTGAAGGGAAAGCAGAGGGAGAAAACATTAGAAACAACCACAACACCATAAAACCAGGAATCTCAAGTAAGGAAAAAAGGAAGTCACCAGTAATTATTCCAGAACGCCTTGATGTTTATTTCAGGAACATAGGTCGCTTCTGCCCTCTATTAAATAACACACATTCTTTGTGCCTAACAGTGGTTAAGATTCAAGAGTAAATATCTGATTCTCCAGCCATTCACTAGTATTTATTCATATGCATTATATAACACCAATACTAGTACTGATATAAATCCCCACTAGTATGGGCAAAGCCAATGCTGTGATACACCTGTTTCCTGTACGAATGGAATTTACACTCTGGCAGAGAATATCAGACACAACACATGTGGAAAATTAAATTACAAGTCAGTTACGTGATGCTGGAACCTAATACTATGCATTTTATATTTAAAAAGGAACTTTTTAATTCATTTTACTGTTTTTTTTTTCTTCCTGCTATCCGTTGACGTAGGGAAGGCAGACTTATTATCACAATTTTATGGACGAGGAAAGGACAGCGCAGAGAGGAAAGGTGACTCGCCCAAGGTCGCATCGCTGGTAAGTGACAGAGCCTGCCCAAGGAGTCTTCTCTCTCCTGGTTCCCATTCCTCATTCTTTCTATTCCTCTCCCCACCCCCCAACTCGAGGGCAGTGAAGTTTACTGTGCTTCACTCCACCCACTGTTCTTTCTCTAGCTCAGGAAGCCAGGGCTTCTCAATAACTCAGCATCTAATTGGTTTTAAGTCCACAGTTTCCTCCCTCACTCAAAATCTAAATCAATTAAACAAATTTCCCAGAAAACCAAAATAATCTTTAAGCAAAATCCACTACCAGGTCATATTTGTCTAAAGAGAAGGTATTTTCAGAATACACGTCATTCAAAAGAGTGGGGAATAATGAAAACCTCTTTGCAAACTTAATTTCTGCATAGCCTGCTGCTTAGGTTCCAAAACTCATGTACAGCCCAGCTTTTCTCATAGATGTGTACGTTCATGTGAGATATGTATTTATACATACGCATACATATTGGGGAAATCATTTTGCATTGGAAACAAATTCTTCCATTAATGTCATCACATTAACTTAACTGTACTGTTATAACTTAATAACAATTTAACCCTAAATAATTCTGCAGTATGACAGACAATTTTAATAAGTGTAATGCAGCTGAATTTCCACCTAAGTCGCTCATGCTGGGTAAGGTGCATGCTCAGTGATGCCTGCTTACAGTAGCTTACTATGCTGAGCCATGTAAGTCAATCACAATCTGCTTTGGGAGGAAGAGTCTAGTGATGGTGTTGAAGAATGAAAGGTAACAGTGAGCCGAGTTTCACGTTTAGTGAGGTTCGTTGTGTTTCCAAGGGATTCACCAACAGAACAGATCAGGGTCATCGTATCCCTGATGCTATGAGTGGCGAATAGAAGGACAGTCTCGATCTCTATTCTTAATTCTGCCCCCATCCTGAAACACATGTCCATGTTCCCCTTTATAAGTCTTTTTCTCCATTTTACCAATTCTCAGTCTGTTCGTCATCTTAATGCTTTTACATTTTAGAATATGTACAACTGAAATAGTTTTAAAAAATCCAGATATTGATCTTGTTTCTTTTCCATTCCCCATCTGATGCAATACTTTCTGGAAGGATCAGCCACTTCTTCTCAGGACTCTGAAATGTGTAATTCAGAAGAGGGCAAGGGCGAAAGATCTAAAGGTGTGAATTCTCGAGAGCTGCTTGATTGTTGGAGGTTTGGGGGTGCTAATCAGTCTCCAGTGCTTCCCCCCTTTCTTTAGTTCTAACCGACTGATAATTATACATAAGGAGGCAAATGGGGGTCAAAATGTATCTTCTGGCTCTACTGATAGCAAAGTTGGAATGAAGGATGCAGCTGGAAGTGCGTATTCTGTTAAAAACAGGAAGGTCAAAGAGAGAGAGAGAGCTGTGAGACAGGGAGACCATCTACAGCAATGTCCCGCCAATCCCCCTCTGGGGCGTGGCTTGGGGGTGGGGTAGAACCTCTGGCGGAGAGTGAAGTGAGTCCAGGAGCCCTCGTACGGCCTTTCCTCTCCTCATGCTGCTATGGGAACATGTCCGGTTGGATGTGTCCTTTACAACCTCTCTAGTTCTGAGGTCAAGTCAAGGAAAAGCCCACGAGCAGTGCTATCTTAGGTCCCTGCCACAGGACCTGTGCTCCAGAGGGCCTTGCTCTGGCCCTCCTCTGGCAGTGTCCTTCCCCATGTGACAAGAGGAAGGGTCCTGAGCCCCCTCTGGAAAGTGCGTGGCTTCTGTCTTGCTAGGCTGGTAGGTGTCTGCCCTCCCGCTCATACCCCGTTTCCTGAGGTTGGACCACACCACTTGTGCGTGGGCCTCTTGGACTGAGGGGTGGCCAAGGGGTGGCTATATGTAATGGTGGAGGGGTCGGGGTGTGATAGAGCTTGGACATTCCAGCTGGAATTGCAATGTTACAGTGTGGGGTGGAGAGGGAGGATAGAGATGGGGCAAGGGGGCGAAACACGGGCAGCCGGCTAGTTCTCCTAGAAGCTCTCAGAAGTATGGGGATTTTAAATGTGACCCTTTCAGGATGTTATAAAGGAATTTTCACCTATGTAGGATGATAGAGCAAATTTTAATTACTAGTTTGTTAGCTTGATTTATAGCTTTAAAAAATCCAGACATAGGGCATGTGGGCCTCCATCTGTATTCTTGCCACAGACCCCACAAATGTTCGGCCTAGGAACAAGGAGGTCCCAGGTCCAGCTCTTGTCTAGGCTCTAAGGGAGAGTTACGTAGAGCCCGTAGGCTGCCTAACTATTTGCTGTGCTCATCACTTCTGTGGATCAGGAATTTGGAATGGGCCCACAGCAGGAACAGAGACTTGATGGATGTCTGGGACCTCAAATGGTAAGACTGAAGGCTGGTGGTGACACAGTGACTGTGGATTAGAATCACTGAGGAGACCCTCACTCACATGTCTGGCGATTGATGTTGGCTGTCGGCGGGGAATCCTGCTGGGGCTGTCAGCTGCAGCATTTATACGGGGACTCTCCTTGTGGCCTCATGGCTGGATTCAGGATAAGCATCTCAAAAAGAACCATGCAGGAGCTGTCATGCATTTTACGACCTAGCCTTAGAAGTCATATAGCGTCACTTCTGCCACAGTTATCAATCCACCCAGATTCAAGCAGAGGAAACAGATCCTACTTATCGATGGGAAAAACTGTCAAAAACACATTGTATGAGGGCCTGGAGGATAAGAAAGTACTGTTGAGGCTTCTTTTTGAAAATGCAATCTGCCACAGTGTCCCTGGCTCAAGAGTGTACAATGCACAGGGATTTGGGAGGAGATCTTTGGTCTAGGGATTCCATGAGGATATTGTGAGTGAATTCAAGTCAAAGGCATAGAATAGTGCCTTGGCATATGATAAGACTCAGTAAACAGCAGCTATTATCATCATCAGCACCATCATTGCGAGCAACATGAACATCATCCTCACCACAACCATGACCATTATCACCACCACCCTCACTGCCACCATCATCAGCACCATCATTGCCAGCAACATTATCGTCATCGCTGTGGAACCTATGCAGATGGTTCAATCAACAATAGGAGGAAGGAAACTGAGGCCTGAATAAGTTAAGTGATGTTTTGGGGAGTCCGCAAACAATTCAGTGATAGTTCTTTATTTGAACTTGGGCTTCTGTCTCCGATCAGGAAACTATGTAGTAGTGGTTTGGAGACTTTGCAAGGACAGGACATGAATTAGAGCAGTATCGATGATGACCTTGGATCTTACTCACCGCTTTTGATGCTAATGACTCCAGAGACGGTTTAGTCAACAGATTTTCCAAGTATCTTTTTTCAAAAACAAAACAAAACAAAACAAATTTTGAACTAATAATCATAAAACTAGTAATAAGATACCTGCTAATTTGGATAATTTAGATGTAAAAATCAGACTTTTGTCTTTTATTTGAAACAGCGCTCCTAAGGCAATTAGCAAAACAAGTTTGTAGGAGACTATTTTTAACAATTTGAGGAGCCGCATTTCATTTATGCAAATATTATATGTATGAAATAGAGTAATTATAAGATTTTGTCATTTGTTTATTAAATCTAATCTCTAGAACCTACTTTGGCAGCACTCTCTTATTTGACGGTGTTTAAATTTTTGAAAATCAAGCAATTTCTTTAAAGAACTCTTCCGTAATTCTCATCAGCCTTGTGCAGACTTTTTTTTTTTTCACAAAAATCTGAAATTATAAGCTTTTGTCTAGTGTTTTGTTTTGTTTTGGGTTGGCGTTAAAGAGCTGGTCTTCCCTTGAGGAAGCACTTGTAGCAGAACCAAACCAGTAAATACCCGCTGATTCTCGGACAAGGCAGGCTGATGGTGGGACACGAGGGGGTCAGAATGAATCAGACGTCAGTTTGTGCTTCCTGACGAATCTCAGTGTTGGCTCCGGGGATCTGGAAGCAACTCTGAGCCTCAAGAATGTAAGTCAGCGTTACTTTATGTAACTGTCCCCCTTCTGGTTTCAGTCGGCAGGCCAGGGCCAGGGTAACTGTTCGTAGAGGTCATCCATCCAGACTGAGCGTGGTGCCCGTCCGAGGAGACAGAGTCCAGTTGATCTTGGACATGCACTTGCTGGTGTCAGCAGAAGAAGGGGATAGTGATGAAATCTTCCACTCAGGTTTTTTTAGGCAAAAATAGCAGCTCAACTATTTAGACCAACAGCTAGACCTTCCTTTCTGAGAAAGTCTCTGGAGCCAGACAGCCTGAGATCGCCATTTACTAACTACGTGATGGCGGGCAAGTGTGCCTCAGTTTCCTCGCATGTATGACATGAGAATGAGAATAGCACTTACCGCATAGGATTGTTATAAGATAAAATGAGTAATATATGCAAAGAGCTTAAAACCGTGTCTTGCCTGTATTTGGTCTTCAGCAAATGCCATTGTTTCTCTATACCCGTTACCTGTGGCAGGCACCGTGTTAAACCTGTTATGGACACTACTTTATTTTCTCCTTCTAACAACTCCGTTATGGTAGCTATTTTCATCCCCATTTCATAGATAAGAAAAGTGAGGCACAGAGAAGTTGTACGATTTGCTCAAGTTCACACATTAATGGGTGAAAGAACCGGGATTCTAACCCAGTTTTGTCTGGCACAGAATCTTGTGATCTTCACCACCACTTGGCACCTTGATAAAAACAAAATAAAACACAGCAAAAATAACCTTGTTATTAGCATACTTGATGTTCCCTGAGAAGGCCATTGGGTTATCCTTAGATTATAAACTCTAATGTGGCAGAATCGTGGCAGTGATTTTTTTCTATACCATCTACCACGTGCTGGTGCAGAAGACACCTAAGGGCTTTCTGTTCTGCCTTCAATTGTTATTGCTGCAGACACATTAAGTTGGCACTTCAGATGTGGCCCATAGAGCTATAGGCAGGGACCCTGCACAGAAGGACCAGCTTTTGTGTTACAGAAAGCTGCATGAAAGTATGGATGGTGTTTAGGTGGGGGGAGATTCACAGAGCTCCCAGATAAACC